AGAATTTTTTTCTTGTTATTTAGTAAAGTATTCGCGTAATAAAGACAAAAAAGGAGCAAAGAAAAGTACAGTCACTTGGCGGCAATGAGTGCTAGAGGGTCACTAAGAAAAAATCACAGCATATCAGCGGAGTGAATGATGATGAGTGGGACGAGGCGTCCATCAGCCCGTCCGTGCTACCGTCTGTTCATTCGTTCTTGCTTCCGTTCATCCATGCGCCCGTCCGTCTGTCCGTGCATCCGTCCATTAGTCCATTCATCCGTCTGTCCGTCCTTTCATGCGTCCATCTGTCCATTTATCTGTCCATGCATCCATCTGGGAAATACTCCAAGTACAGCCATCTCGCGTTTTGCATTCTCTGTGGCACATACCCGCTCCGCGCGTCCAGTCATCTGCTAGTCTGTCTGTCTGTCCGTCCATGCATCAGTTGGTGCGTCCCTCTAGTGAACACTCCAAGTACTGCCGTCCCCCATCTCGCAACTCGCATCTCACATACCCACTCTAGAGCGGGTATATGCTACCGGTGGCTACTTACAACATCGGGGGATGTACAGACCCACGCCTTGAGGAGCTTCGCCCCTAAAACTCAGGCGCTAACACGGCGTGGGTTCTTCACATCGGGAGTTCTACACATTCTGCTATGCAAGAAATGGGGTAAGTCCAAACAACTTGCCAAGGTGGAGTACCAGTCTGGTCTAATGTCTAGGTCGTAATAAATGTCCTTGAGGTGAATAGTAATATGAATGGAGGTTGTGCCTGAAGAGGTGGTGTATTCTGCATTGCGGTCTTGCATACGTGTCTTCCATAAGCTGGAAGATGAAACTTGAGTGTTTATTTCTTCATGGCATAAGTAATATTGGTGATCTTTCAGCGTTTTCTTCTTTAGAAGCGCAAATTTTTGTCTCCGCGCTTGTGAGAACCAAACGGATGGTAGCTCTCGTGTTTCTGTGCTTCGGTAGAACAGAACGTCCATCCGAAATGTTTTGCAGTAAAAATACTAGCGCCACCAATTATACCAATGGCAGTCGCACTGACCCGCTGTACAGTTAATCGCTTCTGAACTGCCCACTGAACAATTCAGTTTTCGTCCCCTAATTCGATATTTTTTCTGTCATTCTTGTTCACGTATTGCTACTGCAGCCATAGTACCTCACTTGCTGTACCATACATTAGGCTTACGGCAGCGTCCTCCATGCTCGACGTTCGTACCGTGAATCATAAATATTAACATAAGAAGAAATCAATGACCACGTAAATTTACTTTCAATCGCGACCAATTCAAGGAGGTTACTTCGCGTGCTTTTCTATGCAAATAAGTAGTAAATTTAATGATCGCCATATGCACATAGCGAATGGTGCTAATCATGCTAAATGAGTTTGCTCGGAAGTGCACGGGCATTTCTTGGCGAGATCAATTCCGTAGGAAGGCTTGTAAAGCACGCGAAGGAGCCGGTGCATGATGCATGTGTATGGCGAATGGAACATTGCCATGCACGTGCCGCGATGAGTTCTGCACAGTGTTGGCCACGTTGGTCGGCACGATAACGTCTTGCCCCTTCATGCGACAAAAGCCACATTTGTGAATCAAATGCCTAACGCTTATAAATGGCAGATGCGGAGCTATAAAGCGTTCTTCAACCGGGTTGAGAGCAGGCAGGTTAGAGGGCTTCGTAGGATATCGGTACCCGTGTGTAACTCTCACGGTAAGAACTTGTCATGTGCTGCCATGCCTACGAAGTGACGAGAACGATGTGACCATAGTCGCGAGGAGGTGAGTGCGTGGACCATCGAAAACCAAAGCCTCGGGTGGCACCGCGCCTTTAGTGGACATTGTTACAATCATCGAAGAAGTGACCGCAGTGGTGACCTGGAGAAGTGTACACGCCGGCCGCCATCGGACAAGGCATGATCGTTTGAAGCTTGCCGAGCAAGCTCCTAAAACACTGTTCTTTTCTTCAGATGATCTCATATGTGGGGTTTAACTTCCCAAAACCACTATATGTATATGAGAGACGCCGTAGTCGAGGGCTCCGGAAATTTCGACCACCTAGGATTCTTTAACGTGCACCCAAATCTGAGCACACGGGCCTACACCTTTTCTGCCTCCATCGGAAATACAGCTGCTGCAGCTGGCATTCGATCCCACGACCTGTGGGTCAGCAGCCGAGTACCTTACATCAATATAGACTACCGCGGCGGGCAAAAATTAAGTTCTTTCATTCCATTCCCCCCGGTGTAAGATCTGCTGAAAGAGCCGAGCTACGGTACGTCTGGGTTTCTGTGATTTTCTGTGTAGTTTTGTAAATTTGTATAAGTGTCTCTGGTTCCGTTGTTTGAAGAGTAGAGATGCTTAAGAAGGGGCGTGTGGCAGCCGTCGCTAAATTCACCCCTTTCAGAGTCAACTTAAGCACCATTAACGCTCTAGCAGGCCTTTCCGATTTCATGACGTGGCTCCGATTTGTCCGCTACAGAGTGAGCTGCGAAAACTGAGGGTGTATTGGGTAACCACAACATGGCATGTGACACAGCCACTCGTGTTGTGTGAGGCCCGTCTTTGAACACTTTCGCTTTTCGAAGACAATGAATTACGTTAACAACTTCCACCAGATCACGACCGAAATGATTCTGGCTTAGCGTGAGACTTCATTAGCACTTTTCTTGATTTTCCAATGATATCGTTTCCTAGAGAGAGAATCTTAATTATTGTGTGGAAGTTAGTAATTCTAATATTGCACGTGTTATTCGCCATTTCTCTCTCTTTTATCCGTGAAAGGTTGACATGCCCAGTAGCGATGATTGCTTTGATACAGAGAACGAGGAGGGAAATCTTACGTGAGGCGATGTGTTTATTACGTATAATTTAGGCAAAAGCTTCTTGTTTGTGGTTTAAATGTCTAACTTTGTCATGTATTCTTATAGGTCACGTGTTAATGTCTGTGTGTTCTCAAAGGTCATACAAACCCGGACAAAAATAAATGATAACTTGTTCCCAGCTGGGCGAAATAAACTGTTATCACTTGGCTCTTGGCCCGTCGTGCTTGAATAAAAATAAAAGATGGCATATTGCCCGGACGCTTCATTTAAAGTGCGAAATTTTAAATGCAACAGACAATCTTGATGCCGTTCCTCGTGTGCACTCAGCGTATCATAAGCAGTGAACGTACGAAGTTATCACGCAGCCGTTTCAAGGGCGCATATTCTGAACGGAAAATGACCCCTAAACCAGCCCACATATAAGAGCAAGAGCATTTTCTGTACCGGTGTTTCCCCTTTTTTCGGCACTATTCTGGACGCCCCGCTGCTTAACCACGTGACATCGTGGTAAAGTAAGTTCTCGATTATTCGATACACGAGGGGTATCTGCTGTGAATTTTCATCTACCCCACTTTGCCGCACAGCCTCTTGCCTGGTTTGCCCTAAATGGCGTAACTATGTGCGCAGTAAACTGATTCACTTCGTTTACTGCGCTTGCGACAGCGCAAGCGGACACAGCAACGCATATTCGAAAAAACACAATATCTTTACTCGTCCAATACTTATTTTTGCATTCAACATGTTTTCTGAAAGAACAAGGGGCATGGAGTAATGTAAAAGTAACGCTTGCAGGAATGGTAGTAAAGGCCAAAAAGAAATTGCTGTCTCGCCTATGAACTTTATGTGTTTTAGCGGCGCTTTGATTAATGCTTTTCTAGAGCTTCCACTCTACAAGTTTAACGACATTGGCTTCAGACCGCAGACTTTCGAACTCTTCCCTGAGAAAGGGAAGTCAGATGAAAACAAGGTCGAGCAGATGATAGGCGTCGACATCTTGGACGACCCAAACCGACGCCTCCTTTAATATTTCAATGCCAATCAGATGCGCACGATCAAGCTGTTCACCACCATCTCATCCAACCTTTTCCTGTTCTCGCCCATCACCTAGCATTCGCGTGTACTTTGTGGTCATGGAGGAGAGTAACCTCTCATGCAGTGTCTCATGACGGAAATCATATGGAGTAATTTTTTGTTCAGTTATGTACACATCCATGGGGCAGTGTCTTGCATTCCTGCTGTTCACAATCTTGCCAGTATCACTGGCTCTGTAAAAGCTATGGTGTTTTGAGATAGCGTGTTGCTAGTTCGGGGCTTTATGCGGCCAACTAATGGGGAAGCGTCATTGCTACGCTTCTGCATGCTCCACTTTGTGCCGCAGTGGTGGCATTGTCTCAAGCCACAAAGAAGCAGCACGAAGGAACAAATCTGACAGACGTACGAGTTTGAAGTGGGAAACACGTCTATTCCATTTTCGTGGCAAAGTACCCAGATGCATGTGTGGCGTGAGCGGCACAACCCATCATGTAGCGACACATCGTGACCACTCCCTGAACTAAGGTGGACCGACGGCTCCCGTTTGCACTGGCATAGAATTAAATAAAGGAGGCGTTGCCCAAAGCAACCCGTCCTGCCTATAAACGCGTGGAGTCCGATGGTTTTGCCCCATGAAACATGCGTGGTTGGTCTGCAAAAGCAGACGCATTTGGCCATCGCTCCCGGTGAAGGTCAGACACCAATCTCGCTTCTGCAAGAATCGAATGCGGACAATCATTCAAGAGACGTCACTATGGGCAACCGGTCTTGATATCGTCTACAGCTTCGCTATCCAACCACTTTCGCTGCGTTATTTCAGGTGTAATTTTTCTTTCCCACAGTTCACCTAGTGGAATGCGCTGACCACCGCAAAGGGTAAGAGCCACGTAAGCTGGTCTACTATGCAGATAGCACGGCACAAAACAGTGGGGCCACCTTCTTGTAGGTGCACTTCAAAATAAATTTTTTCATCGCATTTTGAATAAAAGCCTATCTATTCTCCCCCAGACCACTTCATGGCAGAATACACTTAAGTGTTCTGAAAGTTCTGTCAAGAATTCTTTGTTGCGGTTACTAATGAACTGCATGCGCTGTAGTTACTTTAATTTAAATAATACAATACTAATCCTCAATTTACTTCACGTGCAAAAATTATATCTGTAACTTTTTAATATAGCCAGTAAATCTCACAGCGACATATTATAAATATAGAGTGAAGCACAGCGCCTTGTAAAACTTTATTCCTTGGTGCGGCTGATGATCGTACTATTCTGTACAGAACTGCTTTTGATTTCTGAAAATACAACCAATGTTCATAGTAGTTTTGGCAGCAAAGGCAAGGTTTTTTGCAGCTGTTGCGGCTCTTGTGGCAGTTGCAACTCTTGAGGCTCTTGCGGATCTTGCTGCGAGGATGCTGTGGCAAAAATTAATTATAAATGCAGGACTTTCCAAGAATGAAACAAGTGACACAATATACGAAATTTAATTTCAGTAATTTGCTTACGTATGCTGACTCCTGTTTTTAATGTACACAACTTCAACGACCGTGTTGCTTAACGACTTTTGCTAAAACAGCATTTTAGCTTTTGTCAGTGTAGCGTACTGTCGTATGCTACTCCGACATTCTCGCATATATAATTTCCTAAGTACTAGACATTCGAATATGAGCAATGAGCAGTACAATGAGAGCCTTACAACCTACCGATAGCTTATAATTCAGTCACGAGTACATGCTAAAGCAAAGAAAACCTGAGTTTTCATTAATAGCTGAAACCCAACTCAGGGTAGGGCTCTACGGAAGTCATATAAACAATAAGGCGTCTAAGACAGGTCTAGTGATATTGCGATAGGCGACTTGTCTTTATCAAAGGCGTCTTGTCATCAGTAATGGGTTAGTGTGAGAAAAATGAGTCATTGACTTGTGGTCTAGAAATGTCACTGTCCGTGTATGTTATCTACATGAAAAAGGAACTGTAAAGATAATGATCGCGATTTTTACAGTCCCAGAACGCCAGTGATTGCCCAGTGAACGACAAGGTTTTAAAATAGATGTGGAGGGTGTTAAAATAGATGTAATATGGGAGCTCATAAGTAGTTTGAAAGACAGCAATGTTGCTTTATGCTTTTCATGTGTTCTTCACAGCGAATGGAACCAACGCAGTGATATGCTAAGGAAAGCCTAGCGGACTTTATTTCTCGGTTTTTAGCTGTAGCGTAACGATTTTGACCCATTGAGAAGAACTAAATTGGACTAAAAGTGGCGCTCTTCATCAGTGGCATCAGTGGATTCTGTAGTAGTTCATTTGGTAAGGCATCGGATGCGTACTTTGATTGTTGTCGGCTCTGATCCCACCAGCGGTGAGCGTTATTTCATTTTCGTTTGCTATCACTATACTACTATTCGAGAACAAACACTAATGATTCTAATTATTTGCTTGGCTAAACTGACAGTTGGCTTCATTAGTTATGTCCAACAACAAAACTAGCCCCTTGAACAATTCGCCTCCTTTTGTACATGCGTTATTCAGGACATCATATCAGGGATTGCGTGGCCCAATCCTTTACCACGCCTGTGGCTATACGATTCGTGGAGTGGCTCACATATTTGTGGTTTCTCCACTCTACTATCTCTATTTGTTATATTTCCCTTGCCTAATGACATCAAGATTTTGAAAAGTGCCCCGCTTTTTCATAAGCTCTAGAAACCTGCGATTTCTAACACCTTTCATCGGAATCAAGAAGTGGCGCCTTTCAAGGACTCTGCGTGTGCTGTCTCTATGTATTTCTTGAACGCTATGTGACATGGACACTCTACATCACCCTTGTTTGCGATTTTTTTTGCGCAATCACCGATACGGTGGCGAGGGCCATGGTGCGCTGTATTACGTGGGCCACATGCTGCGTGTCTGCACTTTCATCTGAATTGCTCAGCAAGCACAATAATGTGATATTATCAAGCCCATTGCAGAATATGAACAGTTTTAAAGAGTTTGAGAACAATTTTAGGAGCAGCACGTAAACTACAAAACGTGCTGCATATGAACACCTCTCTAATGCCACCAATCAAGAGCAACCGTGCTGTACGCACAATGAAAGTACTCTCGCATAAGCACCCCGTGCTTCAATGTCGAAGTATTAGGCAAGTCATTGCAAAGTGCCGCTGTTTCCTTTTTTCAACTCTTGATCACTTGTCATAGATATTGTTTTTATATGTTATAAGTAATGCAATGTGTTGGCAGTTGTGTTCACTCTATTTTTTACAGATTATTAGATGTGTTTTATATACAATTAGTCATCGTGAACTTCAAAGAGAGCTATATTTTGATCAAGTAAAATTTTACCGAGGTTACTCAGAGTTTGCAGTGGCTTTGTTCGTAATCTTATAACTCATCAAAGCGCATGTTCACTCGAATATCAATGTTCCGAAGTACAGGTTTATTTAGCACTTTGCTTAACAGCAAAATAGGAATATTGCGGCAGCCAAAGTACTACATAATCAACTCTTTCAGTTACCACTGAACACAGTCATCAATAATCTAAAAACTCAAATCTAGTCTGAATGCTTTGGCTTCTCTGTGCACTCCCATCGCTGCTTGAACACTTAGTCTCGCATAGACTCTCAACTTTGCAGTCAGGAACCAAATAAATGTGACCAAGAAACTACAAAGTGGATTATACAACCAAGTTTCTAACTGAAGAGTGTTATCTCATATTGCTAACTCTGCTGCAAAAACCACTTATTGGTGTACAAAAGTAACAGAAAGTACTTACTTGAGTTTTGGCTTCCTTCTTGGTTACTATCGGTGCTGTTAGAGGGTGTTTGCTCCTCCCCTTTGCTGGAGGTGGTGGATCCCGCACCTGGTGGCCAGTGACGAAACAGTTTTTCAGAGAATAAGTAAACGGTCAACTATTTCTTGCGATTTCGTGCAATCATGCTGTTATTTCACGTTTTAAGTACCGTTCCTGTACGTTTTGTTCAATTAAGATCTGAACGACGTAAGTATTCTAGCATATAAAAATTTTCTCTTTCCAACTAAAAAACAATGCCAAGGTTACAAACCTTTAGAAGTATCTCCTTCTTCATTATGTTTGCGCCGGCGCTCAGCAAGCTCCTTCTCTATTCCTCGTACAAATGCGCTGAAAAATCTGTGAACTAATAGATGTCATCCATGAAAGCCCAAGAAAAACAATTGATCAGTCTATACTTATGTAAACGACCATACACATTTACTGTTGATGCAACCTTAGCGTGAGGATCATTTTCTTAATTTATTGTTTATTCATGCACATCAACTCTTTGCCTAGAAATTTTACAGCAAGGTGTTAGATTTTTACCCCGCCTAATTTTATTCATGCACTCCTTCAGATGTCACACTACTCCATTGGTTCATAGTACTAACAGAAAAGGATTTGTGAGCAGGTGTCCTGGCCTGACATGCGCATATTTGAACCTGTGCGGTTAGATATATAACCTGGGTGAACTACAGAATGACAGAGACTCCCAGTTTAACTCATTTTTCTTTTCGGTACAGCAGTGACGTTTTCAATAGCTACCCAAGACAAACACTGCTGCTCTGTTTTGAATTTTTTCTAGTTTAATAATGAAGCGTGCTTGTAATGAATTCATATTTGCCAGCTCTGCTAATAATAAACAAGTTCGGGCTTCTTTTTGGTCACCGAGTCACTTTTGAAACTTTGTAGTTACTCGTTGCGATTTGGGGGTTCATTACATTTTTTGAAAAATTTATTTCATGATCATCATGTTAAGCAAATGCGCTTTTTTCCGATTACTGTGTATTGTTCGCTGCTGAAGTCAGAAATCATTGGGGTAAAAAAGAAGAAACGTTATTAACGTGCATTGTAAAACATGCATTCAAACGTATAAAATCTACATTGAATATAATGTGAAAAATGAAAGGAACCGAAAGCTTCTCCTTTAGGAATTGAACCTGATAGCAACATCTTGTTCGTAGTGCGTCTTTCAAACACTTACCCCTGTATTCACAAACGCTCCTCGACTTGACTTTCATCCTTCACTTGACAGAGGTGAGCAATGCGCCACTGCTCGGCTGACAGTGATGCTGCGCTACTAACGAATCGCAGCAGATTATTGCTGATAGGCAGCGACTTTCCCTGCCTAGAGACGGCGCTCCCATCGGCCTTCTCAACTGAAGGTGAACTGTTGAGTGAAGGCACGTTCTAAAATACGGGGGTTAGTGCATGAAGCCCGTTCAAATTTGCTATGCACCCACTACGCTGCCTTAAGGAAATACGCGCAGTAACGTGTGCCTTTTAATAGAGAGTTACCAGCTTTCAACCACGGAGCCTAAATGATAATCACATATTTTGACACCTGCTGACTATGGATGCTTCACTACACATTATAACTGCAAAAGTTCATCTTGCATTGTGATATATACAGGAAGCGTGTGAGTTGAACTCCCAAATATTTCGATGCAAATTTTTAATAAAAATTTTTCATTAAATAGCAATTCTTATCAATTATTTTTGTCCTTATAGAATATACATGGGTGCACGTATCCGTGTTTGAATTCATTTGCCACTGACGACTGCAATGATGAATACGTTCAGGATCAACCTGTAAATCAAGGCCATTTTGTTCATTCTGAATTTTCAATAGATAGCTCAATCATTAACGAAAAAGCGTATATTCAACCTGATGTCTACATAATGTCCTTATTAAAAATTATAAGTAACAGTGGATCCAACACAGATTCTTGGGGGGACGCCTGAGATGACCTCAAGTAAATGCCACTTAATTTCATGGTGTAGTTTTCGTTCCACTTGAGAGTTGTGGCATCTATAACAAACATTCGCGATTTTTCAATGAGCGGAGGCCTAAAAAGAGTTCGAAAGCTTTCAGAATGTTCAGAAAAATGCATTTCATTTGCCCACCTAATCAAATTGTAGACACTGTGTCAATTTGAAACTCTAGAAGTCAAGTCGTACCTGAAAAAGTCTTTACTAAACGATGTTGAGACTTCGTTAATTGTTCGTGGTTTATTAAATGGTTCATTACAACCTTCTGCCTTGAATAGTTATACACGATACCGATATCAGTGAAATATGTCTGTAATTAATAACGCCTCTCATCAAACCTAGGTTGTGGATCGGGGCTGCATTTGGTAATTTCCAATCTTCAGGCAACGGAAGGATCTTCAGGCAACGGGGGGATCTTCAGGCAACGGACCCGTGCGTCACGATTATTGAAATATTTGATGGAGATTAAGTAAAGTGGAATACGCATACTACTTCAGAAATCTCCCAGAAATATAATCAAGACCAGTAGCTGTACTTTCCTCGAGGTTCCCGAGCAAAGCTTCAATGTCGCTAAAACTAAGTTCGAGTAGTTGCACAAAAGAAACGCTATCAGTTGACGGTGCAAACTCAGGAAGAAAAAACTAATTGGGAATATTTAACCTTGTGGTTTTTTTTTATGTCATGAAAACAGTGTACCGATCGAAAATAACCTAATTTATGCTAACGGTATCCAACTCATATTCCTCCAAATACTTCAAGAAAGATTCAAAGCTTATTCTCATACTTGAATTCGTTGTTTGAAGAACTGTTACATTGTATTTTGTGACAATATATATTAGAACAGTGTTTTCCGTTGTTTTAATGTAAAATATTTATAGTTTTTTGTTTCGTATTTTTTCAACACAAGTCCTCGTTTTTAATTAGTTTCAAAATACTTTAAATATATCAAGGTGGTTTTCGCGTTTGTTGAGCCTAGCCGAATCAATACACAGTCTGAACTGCCTTGAAAATTTAAGTTACTCATTTTTAAATGTATATTGGCATTATGCTTTCACCACTCACAATAAGCACTTGCAATTCAATTAATGAGGTTTTGTTCCTGAGTGACATTTTACATCTTGGCTTACTCAGTTTCAAAAATATAGTTTTGTTCTAGGAATGTGACTCCATCAACACAGCCTTCTTAAATTCCTCGTGTGGTGCAGCTTTGCTCTCTTTTACACATAAATGGTGCAATATACGGCTACTACTCACGCAGAATGTAGGTCTTCGACCCCCTTATCTATACAATGCTTGTCAACTTATTGCTATAGGGTGTAATAAGGTACCTATTACTTAAACAGTTAGCTGAGAATTACAAGATATGACGTTTACCCTCAACTCACACACTATATATATTATATATATATATATATATATATATATATATATATATATATATATATATATATCAACGCAGTGGGATAAAGACCGCGAAAAGGAGAGATCAAGGAGAGATCAGGAGTGTTGTAACGTGGTTTTGTGCATTTTATCCACTGCTTGGTCATGGCGTGTTATAGCCAAGTTTCAATCTACTCGCTGAAAGAATTTTTCTCCGAGAGCTCATTCTCGAACTTTCTAAACACATTCCGATTTTTTTCTTTTTTGCGTCCATGATTTGTGATGTCTGCTTATAATAGAGTGCTAGGCTTGGAGATGAAGACGAAGGCCTTTAAAAAAAGTATGTACGGTTTTTGTAGGATGAACAATATTACGCTCAGCAAGGAGACATTCTTTAGGTACCCTTAAAACTGAAAAATAAATCTCAAATGTGCGCTTGACCGGATCCTAAAGAAACAAATACCATGATGTCCGAGAGTTGCTGCGGCGCTTCCAATTGCCTCCAGTATGTCTTCTTCCGATTCATTGTTTCCTGCAAAGTCGTAAGGCATTAGAAATTGGAGCAAAAGATAAATAAATGCAGAAAAAAATCTGCAACTTTTTTTTTTGCGCAGCCCGAAGTTTCTTCTCGATTTCTGTCTGTAAGTTTTCCGAAATTTCCAAACTTATAAATAAAGGACAACCCAGCAATCACACTCATTTGACCTTGAAGGGTTCGCAAAGCGTAGATCTATGACAATATTATCATATATTAATTAGTGACAAGATTCAAGCGTCCATACAGTCTGAATTCACTCCTGTCTAGAGAGCTTGAGTACATGGTTGCAGATGCTTGCCACCTGTTTACGCGGTTCGCGGCAAGTTTCTGTCATTGTCTGAATTAGAGCATGAAGGCTAACCAAGTGATGCAACTCTGTTTTGTATTATTAAGGCATCACTGTCTTCTTATATTTGCATTTCAAAGGGCGAGTGGCATAAGGCTTGAAACAGGTGAACTTGACGAGCCATCTAGTTAGACACAAATGGTAGCATACTGTTTATTTTCGACTGGTCAACCTCCCTGCCTTTCCTTCTCTACCACTGACTCTCTCTCCCTCTCTTTCTTGGTTACCTCTAGGTCGTTCTTAGGCTTTAGCTAGGTGATCCTTTAGGTGCTTGCCCTCGACAGCCCCCCTTTCGAAAGCAGAACGGCTATGCTTAATTTGCCTGATTGTAGAATGCATGACAAAACTAAATAAGCAACACTTACCTTCATTTTCTTTCGCGGCCACCAATAGAATAAGGAGCGTAATCAACGGCACCAGTCGTTTCAGCATTTCCTTGCGACTTCCTTCAACCACTTCCCGAAGACAGGTCAGATAGTCAAATTTAGGGGTCCCTTTCACGAACAATCATGTTATTCACTGGACACTTGTGTTGAAACCTTAGCTGTCTGGGCACAATACTCGAAGAGCATCAAGTAATATTTCTTATCGCCTTTCTGCCATTGCATGACCGATGCAACTTATCCAAGTAACACAATGCGGGTGTGCTGTAGAATGCTGTGTTTCCTGCCTATTGCCTGAGAATGCCTAAACTTGAACACAATGGACATAAAACGTACAAGACATTGTTTTTCATTGTGTGGAAGCTTCATAATACAAAAAATCTTGGAAAATGGGCAGGTGGTTGGTATTCATAGGAAAATAAAAATAAAATCGATTTTCCGCTGAACGCACCTGAGGGCAACTGTGAAGGCGCATGTTGTGGATGGGTCATATCCTTACAAAAAAGAAGGTAATATTTTAGCGTCAGTGTTCACTCTATCATTTCTTTCCGGTTGCAAAAGTGACATTTCAGTAGTATACCTATAATAACTCTACTTTCCGCATCAGTGTTTGCCGTCGGTGCCATTTTTCCCCAATAATAGGTATAACTGCTTTCCCTAGAAAATCTAAACCAGTGCTGGGATAGAGGTAGCGGTTGTCAGTTTCGCTACGAGAGCAAGAGCTGTCACTCCTCTATCGTGTAGTGAGCTCCAGAGAGAGAGAGAGAGAGAATAAAATGAGGGAAAGGCAGGGAGGTTAACCAGAAATTGGAGCATCCGGTTTTCTACCCTGCACTAGGGGAAGGGGGAATGGGGAAGAAATATTGGAAAGAAAGCGGAGAGGGAAATAGACGCACGCAAAAAAAGGGGGGGGAGCTGGGGTGCTACAGTCTATACAATAGGCCGCTGCCACGCAAAAAGTTCAGTAAGGCCTTCACTGAGTTTCTGTGAGCACACAAATCATGTTATCTTTCCAGCAGTGAAAGTTCAGACAAAGGTCTGTCGTCAAGGCGAGCTAACGCAGCAGATAGTTGCCGTCTTTGCACGCTGTAACGAGGGCAGTGACAGAGAACGCACTCTATAGTTTCATCGCTGCCGCAATGACCACAAGCACCGCTGTCTTCCATGCCGATTCGGAAGGCGAAAGCTTTGGTAAAGGCGACACCAAGCCATAGTCGGCAAAGCACCGTTGTCTCGAGTCGAGAGAGTACAGACGGAGGCCGGAGTCGACGAGACGTGTCCAGTCTACGCAGTCGCGTGTGCCGTAAGCACTCGGTGTTCCACAGGGGTTTTAATTCTGCATTAGCGATTTTTCGGATGGTCATTGCAGCATCATTCCTTGAATATGGCATAGATTCCTCTTCACCATCTTCGTGTGCTGATCGGGCAGCTGAATCGGCATGTTCGTTGTCCAATATGCCGCAGTGACTTGGAAGCCACTCAAACATGATTCTGTGTCCTTCGTCGAAAAGGTGGTGAAGCAGCTCTCTAATTTCTAGCACTAGTTGTTCATGAGGTCTCCGGCGTAAGGCGAATATCAAACACTGTAGTGCTGTCTTAGAGTCCGTGAACACGCTCCATTTCTAGGCTTCTTGGTGTTTAACGACTTGAATTGCACTACGTAGAGCAGTAAGTTCCGCAGCTGTCGATGATGTCTGGTGGGATAAACGAAACTTCACCGTTGTCGCTGTTGCAGGAAAGATCGCCGACCCTGCATACCCATCCACTTTAGTTGAAGCGTCAGTATATAGATGAGTATGCTCACTGTATTTCTCATATAACAAGAGAAGAGAAAGCTGCTTTAGCGCTAGAGACGAGAGCCGGGCTTTTGACCCTATGCCTGGAACCGTGAGTTCAACATGTGCATAGGTCATATTCCATGGGGGAGTTGAAATCCTCGATGGAGTTGTATATCCCGTAGGAACGCGTGTGCGATATGACAAGACTGTTTGGCAAAATGAGGCACGAGGTCGGGCTTCTGGCAGTGAAGCTAGATGATGGGCAGGGGCACGAGTAAGATGCCTCACGTGTGCTCTGAGCACTTCCATCATGATATGCGTCTTTAGCGGGTAGTCATTAGTGATCTCGATTGCCTCAGCTGTTGATGAACATCGCGGTAGCCCCAGACAAACTCGCAGAGCCATAGCCTGGATGCTTTCGAGAGTCCGAATGTTGGCTCTACAGGTGTTGGTCAACACAGGCAAATTGTAGCGCGAATAGCCAAGAAAAAGCGTCTTGTACAATTGCGTCATTGCATGTACTGAAGTCCCCCAGGTTTTTCCTCCGAGATACAAGAATAAGTTAGCAATTTCTGTCAGCCTCTTCTTCAAGTGGGCCACATGTGGGCCCCAGCAGAGGTCTCAATCAATGAATACGCCTAGAAATCTGTGCGTCCTGACATATGGTATGACTTGGCCATCGATTGATATAGCGTATGGTCTCATTGGCTTTCGACTAAAAGCAATCAATGCGCATTTCGCTGGCGAGATTTTCAGACCCTGGTCCTTGAGCTACACTGATACCAACGTCACAGCTTACTGAAGTCTTGCGCGTACCTGAGGTCTTGTCACGCCAGATGCCCAGACGCAGATGTCGTCAGCGTACATGGATAACTTGACCACACTTGGTAGTCGTTCTACAAGACCAATGAGAACGAGGTTGAAGAGGGTTGGACTCAAGACGCCACCTTGCGGGACTCCACGATGCGTTAGACATTGGGAGGTTGGACCATCTGCAGTGTTCACAAATAAGGTCCGCCCTTGTAAATAACAGCGTGTCCAACAATACAGTTGCCCGCCTAGGCCCACTGACTCAATGGCTTCGAGTATGGCGTCATGTAGAACGTTGTATGCTCCTTTTACGTCAAGGAACATGGCAGCAGATAGTAGTTTACATGCCTTTTTTTGCTGGACATATGTGACGAGACCTATAACATTGTCGAACGAACATCGGTGACGGCAAAAACCAGCCATGGCGTTCAGATATATCTCATAGTATTCTAGGTACCATTCGAGCCTGGCCAAGATCATTCTCTCCATTACCTTTCCTACGCAACTTGAGAGTGCGATCGGTCGGTAAGAGGCAATGTCCAGGGGAGATTTGCCAGGTTAAGAATCGGTACCAAGCGGCTAATCTTCCAATCTTGCGGAACGACGCCAGCTTGCCAGGAATCGTTGAAGATGTTAAGGAGTGCTTCTCGTGCCCGTTTACCCAGGTTGCACAGCATCCTGTATGAGATGTCATCCGGGCCAGTTGACGACGACTTATTACATAAGACGAGCGCCGCATCGAGCTCCTGTGATGTAAACGGTAGATCCATGCGCGGTTCCCGTGAGTGAGGGGTATGATTCACTGTATGTAGGCTTTTGTACGCTGTCTGGCCCACGGTCATAGCGCAGAAATCTTCTGCTACCTCAATTTTGTGCCGGCGATGAAAAAGTGCAAGGGCTTTGAAGGGAAAACGCTGCTCTGGAACAGAACGTAGGCCTCGCACAATTCGCCATATCTGGGACAGTGGTTTATGAGGATCTAGCGACGCACAAAATTTCCTCCATCGTTGGGTGTCTAATTTGTCGAGGCGCCGTTGTATCTTCTTTTGAATGCGCCGGGCTGTTCGTAGATCGTCTGTAGAATTGGTGCGTCGGTATCGTCTTTCGGCATGACGGCGGATCGCACGAAGTCGCTCCAGCTCGAGGTCGAATGCAGATTACTTCGAAGAGCATACTATTGTGCGCATGGCCGCATGTGCAGTTTCCTTAATAGCTTACTGAAGACCATTGGACAGGCCTTCTTCACAAGCATCATCAAGTCCAGTTTTGAACACACTTCAATCTATTCTTTGTGTTGTGGTAGAGGAGTAGGTGTTCGAAATACCTTTAATCTTCAGGTAAGTGGGGATGTGATCGCTTCCGTGTATTTCAATGTCCAAAATCCGCTTTACCCGTGTAGCAAATTGGCGTGAAACAAAGGACAAATCAAGGCAGCTGCTATATGTAGTACCTCGCAAAAACATAGGACTGGCGTCATTCAGAAGGACAAGACCATGGCTGGAAACCAATGATGCTAGACGTCGTCCCGTTGAATTAAGCCTTGAGCTTCCCCAGATGGGATGATACGCATTGAAATCCCTGGTGATAACCCACCGACCCGGATGTGCTCTTAATATGCCGTCTAGTTTGTTGGTGTCGAATTGACTTGATGGGGATATATACACACCTAGAAGTGCGAATGTCACCTTTCCTTTTTTAACAGACAAGCACACATACTGATTGCCGTCGTGAGGTTGCACTGGCTGGACGACGTAAGTAAGCTTCCGGCGAATGAATACAACAACCTTGCTACTTTCGATGTCATTTGAGGAGAAAAATGACTTGTAGCCGGATAATCTGATTGGGTGCGATAATTTCGGTTCACATATAATCATGATAGGAAATCGGTACAGATGAACGAACTGGCGAAAATCAGATATGCGAGATCTCAAACCTCTTGCGTTCCGCTGAAAAATCGACGCTTCTCTTACCTCCTGTCGGAACGACTTGTGATTGTCGGCCATGGCTTTACTGGAGGCTTGCAAGGACCGGACTCAACGCGTCCAGCACCTATAGGCCGCTCCTAGCAGTTGGCGTATCGATGCTTGTCAGAAGACTTCTGATGACACTCACAATGAATCGCAGCATAGGAATAATTTGACGATCTGCTGTTGGAGCCTCGTCATCAGCAGCATTGGCTTTCACTGGGAGTAGAGAGCGGGAAGGCTGCTCGGAAGGCCGTGCGCTCGCAAGCACCGGCCAGTCTTCAGGGAAGAGAGGCTTCGTCGGTGGAGGTATTCTTGTACTCTCTGGCTTTGTACTGGATGTTGATGGTAGTGTTGACCGAAGTGGTGCATGAATATCACCATGACTGGAGCGCTTCCGTCGGTGGCGACATCGACGCCGGATTGTCTGTGAAGCTTCTCTATGGGTGGAGTTATCCCAGACCATTTCTTTCAGTATACCCATTTCTTTCTTGAGTCTTGGCCATTCCTTAGACGCGGCTTCATGCGTACCTCGACAATTGCCACACCTATAAGTTGTTGCACAACAGGTGTCTACCGTGTGCGCCTCCGCGCACCGGGAGCATACGGTAGAGTTCGCACAGACGCCCTTGACATGCCCGATCTTGAAACACTTGTGGCACTGAAGCAGCTTTGGGACAAAATGCCGTACCACATGCCGGAAATGTCCCACCTTGACGTGCGTAGGGATTGAGTTGCCCT